TGTGTGAAAGCCTAACTAAGGACCCGTTCTCACCAGCAGGTGTGCACTATGAAGGCTGTGGTGCTGATGATGCTTCTTTATTTATCTGTCTTTTTTTGTGTTGTTTCCAACAGATACATCCTATCTATTGACACAGAAGAGGAGATTGAGGAGTATGTCAATGACCTTATTCAGGGCTCTGAGGACAGGAAGCAGACATTCATCCGTGAGCTTAAACATAGGTGGCAAAGAACCAAACAGCCATCCAGCTCCAACTCCGCTCAGATCAGTAGGAACTATGGTCAGTTTTAAATACAGCTTGTGAATTTCTTTTTATTTTAAATCGCCTTCATTAAAGAGTCATAATGGAGAGTGCTATACAAACACTCAAAGATCAGTGATTGCTGAGTGTTTGTAACTAATTGAGGACATAGTATGTTTACTGTGACACCAATTATGAATGAACATTAAATGCTCTACATCACTTCCTGTTCATGCATGATTGTGGACATGGTAAACATACTATCTCCACAAGTTATGAATGAACAGAAGCGCTCCATATGGAGGCTTCCTGTTCATTCAGTGCTGGAGCTGCCGAAAGAGATTGAGGACTCTGTGTCCTCAACCTCCTTTTTTTTCTACTTACCTGGTCGGTCTTGCGGGTGGGTGCGGCCAGCGTGGTTCCAAAGGAAGAAGGAGATTTACAGCCGGCGCTGTAAACAAGTTCGGCGATTCAGGGGAAGGCTCCTCGGACCTCGCGGGGGACCTCGGCAGCCTTCCTGTGAACGGCGGCGCCTGTTTACAGTGCTGGCTTCATTTTTAAAAATTAAAAGCTCCAATATCAGGGTACAGCATTGGTATCGGTGCATACCTACCTATAACATATCTGTTGATGGGTCTAAGCTTTTCTAAAAACTATTCTTTTCTGAAATAGGTATGTTGATTTGCCCAAGCTTTCTTATAACATTTTTAAAGATGGCAATTCTGATGCAGATTTTCTTTTCTTGCTGGGTACAGAAGTTTCTGAGTCACCGTTGGTAATAGACCAGTCAAAAAGAGGTAGGCGTAAAGGAAGGAACAAGATGGAGCCACTGCCGGTGCATGCTTTGACTGATACTGCTGTAGAAGAGGTAAAAACTCCTATGGATTTGGCCAAGGTATGTATGCAAAACAAATTATGTGATTACAGCTTATTATATTAATTATTAATTTATTTAAAATTATGCATGAAATGGTTTTTGCAATTATTGCATTTTAGATAATGCTTTTATTGATCAAATAGGGTCCATTGTTTTTAGATTTATTAAAGAAAATGGTGAACCAGGCCATTTAGCATGTCTTGTAGCAACATTCCATATATGCTCGAGGCAGCCAACATAGTTTGGAGCTAGTAACCCCCCAGGGAGGGGGTAGAAAAGAAAGAAAGAAATTCAAAATCGGACTGTTTGAACTTGGCATTGTTGGATTTATTAGCTGCATATTTGTTTCTGAGCAGTCACCTAATTTTCAGTAATATTGAATGGGTGCATAACTGCCCTTTAATTGGCCTTCAGTTTGTGGACCCAACAATGACAAACTGCAACAGAATAGCTGCATTCACACTATTGTGTCATGGTAACTCGCATTAAAGATGTGCATTGCTGCAACACACATGAACATGCAGATATGTGTGTTGGAGTGCTCTACCATTTATATTTGAATGCAGCCAAATTGCACATGTACAATTGGCAGTTTTTTTATGCTAGGAAGTCATCTGGGTTTTGGAAAGTTTCTCTTTCCACTCCATCTTTTGGAATAAAAATATTGGGTGTACACCACTGTGATACCTATTTTTACCATGTATTGAATCCCTATTTATTTGTCATCAGGCTCAGGAGACAGCTTCTCTCTCATCCTCTAAGAAAAAACAAAAGTATGTCAACTTGTACACCAAAGAGGGACAGGACCGACTGACTGTGCTGATTCCTGGGCGTCATCCATGCGAATGCCTGGCCCAGAAGCATAAGCTCATCAACAACTGTATGACATGTGGTCGTATTGTATGTGAACAGGAGGGGTCTGGACCTTGTCTGTTTTGTGGAAGCTTGGTAAGAGCCCTGACAGTTTCTTAAATGACTACATTGTGTCCATATATAAGCACTTCAGGATTTTCGACCTATACCATACATCCTGGTTTTGTTTCTGTTTTTCTAAGCAGGTTCAGGTCTATTGAGTAAAGGTAATCTGGGTGGCTGTAGAGCTGTCCTCTCACTTTTACAAGACTCAATGGGTGCCTGTTGTTCCCTAGTTCTCCTGCTCCTCCTGGCAGCCTGTGACCACAATAAACAGTCAGGATGTCGAGCAGGAGGAGATCGAGGAACATTCGTACCCCAATGTCCTCTGTGGAGTGTGACTTGAGACATTCTCATCTTGGAGCACTTCAAGGTTCAGAGACGTTAGATTCCTGGTTGCAAAGCCGAGTAAACAGCGGATCAAGCACAATCTGTGCTTGATTAGCAGGGGTAGACGGCAGGGGAGACATTGGGTGTCTAGTAAAGCCCTGATGGCACCATGAAGAGTAGTTTTTTCACATAGGGGGCTTATTTGTCTCCTTGCAATAGTAATAAAGTTAAGTGTTAAGAAAATGAAAGTAAAAGGGCAACCACCAATCTGTATACACATATGAACATAAACATGAGCATAGGGTTTGTATTTAAACAAAAATTACGCAACACATATTGGGTATAGCCGCATACGCTGGACTGAGATAAATAATTCTAAAAGTCCCTAATTTATACTTGACTCTAAACCGATGAGCTATAAAGTCAGAGTGTCGCCTATTAAAAATGTTGGGTACCATAATTTTTCGCTGTCTGGCAGGCACACCTAGCTTTGAGACTGGACTCTGCGTGCGGTATGAGCAATAAGCAACCTTGGCTCAAAGCAGTATATTACCAGTTACAAGGTCCCCATCAGTTGTCCACAAACTTTTTGGTTGATTGCTAAATTAAGAGTAGTATAGCTGTGTAGTGTATATGTTATATTTTATTTTTTTCTGTTCTATTTGTGAAGTTAAAGCGGACCTTTACCCATATCTTTTAAAATAACAAACGCACCTTTTAGAAATGTTTAGTAATGACAATCTACAAACACATACTTATACATAGACAATTGCAGGCTTTTTATTGCATACCCTACTTCTCTTTTCTCCCCCATTCTTCTCACAGTGGCCATTTTTAACTTTAACCACTTGATGGCCATTAACCACTTGAAGATTGGGGTGTTTACACCCCCTTCCTTCCTGTTTTCAGTGTTAACAGTAATTGATGGCCCTACAATTATTGCTCACACTCTGACGTACGCGATGATATGTAACGTGGGGCGTAATGGGCGCAATCGTCATTTTCACACGTAGGCGCACCCGACAAGTTTGCCCGTTTATGTGGGGGGGCTTACATTTTTGTTTATTTACACTTTATTGTTATCATAGGGGGCTAAGAAGCCCCAAATGTGATATCAAATTACAGTGAAAATTCCTCTTTATGGGAACATCGGGGATCTCTAAGAACCCTAATGTCACCTAGGGACCCCCCAAAGAAACTGATGAAGCACAGATCTGCTTCACCAGCTTCTGCAGCCAGAGAGTGACAGCTGAATGCGGAAGTGATCTAATAAACATTACTTCTGCACTCACAACACCGGAGGGGAGATCAGAGGGAGTTTGTGTACTGACCTCCCTGCACAGAGCCACAGTGCCTGTCCTGGGCCTGCACGGAGCACAGGGAGCCCGGGATCACGGTGGGTAGGTGGAGGGTGCACGAAGGCACAACATACAAGTGATGGGGCGGCTCTACAGACGCTGGACCGCTTGTATGTAAACAGCCATCGGTGTCTGTTTCACATTATGACTGCTCAGTGCGCAGGCACAAAGGATGTTTTAAGAGGCCCACCTGCATCTAGAATGCTCCCGTCCGACCGTTTTCTTATGTTCGGCGGACGGAAGTTGGTTTATATCTCCCAATATACTGTATCTCTTCCTGGAACTCTGGGACATGTGACCATGAACATCATCTCAGGGGAGATTACAGATGAAATTTCCCAGCAATGCTCTGCTGATGTAACCTTCCCAGGATGCAACGCTTGGGCACAATTACATCATTTGTGCCACAAGTAGACCAGGAAGTAGACAAACTTCATTTGTAAGTAAATGAAAAACATGTTTGTTTAGCTAATGAATGTAAGATGATTTTCTATTGGCGTGCAGAGTATGCTGATGTGATTTTTTTTTTTTTTTTCTTTTTTAGTGAAAGGGTGTAAAGGTCCACTTTAACCACACTAATAGGTAAATGACAGGCCTCCTTATTTTTAGTTTGAATTATTAAAGTATCTGTCAGTTAATAGGCTTGTATGGAAGCTTAGTTGCTGCCATTTGTTTCTTGATGTTTTATTCTTCATGCAGGGGGAGGGAGTCTTTTTTTTTTTTATTTTTTTTTTTTAAATGCTAGCTTTCTAGCTGTGCCTGGCTTTAGTGCTTCTGACTCCAGGCTATTTTTTTTTTTAGAAGGATAGGTGAGCAGTGGCAACCTACTTATCTTTTTATGACAGTTCGAAATCTCAAAATGTATATACTTATAAAATAAGCATATTGAAAATATATTATGCTAGAACTATGGCTTCCTATTAAAATATGTCCTGTAGTACTTCATTATAAGTACATCTGCACTTAAAGTTTTCTTTTCTTCCCCCTGCAAAGTCCCACCAATACCTGTTGATCCTGCCAATAAAATCCACCTAATGCAGCTAGAGCTGCAGCTAACTATTATTTTCAAAATCGATTAGTTAGCCGATTATTACGTTCGATAATACATTTTAAAAATGGCTCCAGTGATGGACTACTAGTTTGTATTGAAAGGAGCAAGCTTGGAGCGGTGAAAGTAAAAAAGAAAACTTTAAGTGAAGTACATTATACATACGGTATATAATGTATTGCTGGGATTTGTATTCCCATGTATAATATACAGCACAGTGTACCATCAGCTATAGAGGAATAAAAATCCCAGCAATACATTATAGAGCACCACGTGTGGGAAAGTGCAGGCTTATACCTGAGCAGTCTTCCAGCAACTTGCTTCTGAGATCGGGCCTGTCAATCTGCCGCTGTCATCCCCCCCACACCTGCTCCTCCTTACTACATCTCCCCGCGTCCCTGTGCCGATGGAGAATGTGGGCGGGCGGTGAGTGCGAGGCTGGAAGGAGGTGCGGCGTGTAAAGCGTGGATGCGGGTCTGTCAGCGTTGAGCGTGAGTTAGGGAGGAGGTGGGGCGCGCAGCGTGTGTGGAGCCGTGAACAGGGCCAACTGATCAGAAGCCGATTAATCGATTATTGAAAAAGTTGACAACTTTTTCAATAAACGATTATAATCGATTATGTCGATTAGTTGTTGCAGCCCTAAATGCAGCTTCCTGTGATGGTGTGGCAACTATACTGCACTGCTTTTGAATTCAGAGCACAGATGTTACTCTCATGTAGGCTATGTCTGCTTGTACCACAGTGGGACTAGAAGATTTTGCAGGGGGAGTGGCTATTAGCATCATGGCCTGTATTATGTCAATCAGCAGTTGGCCATACCTAAAACTACCCACTGCTTTCTGGTTTGGCAGCACTGCTTTTGCTGCTGAAATCCTAACTCTAATCTTATCTCCCTCGTGTGCCTTTAAATGGGGGAATTGGCTTCCTCCAGGTGTACCTGCACTCACTTTTTCCATTTCTGTATATGTTCCATGATGGAGGCTTTTATAGATTAGATTTAGGACCACACTATACAGCGGATCCTTGACAAGGCAGTGCGGCTTCCACATATTTTAAAACAGTTGTGCAACTAAAACCACTGGTTTTTTTTTTTCACAAGTAGGTTTTTATTGTTTTACAATTAGGGCTGGTAATGATTAAAATTTTCCTGTTCGATTAATCAAATTTTTTTTTAATAGACTAATTTCGATTAATTATAACGCACATACAGAGGGGGGTCTCACCAGGGTAGCAGGGCTCTGTGGGGTCTAACCAGCCTTGTTAGAACAACAAGAGGGGGGTGCAAAACTAGGTCAGCTGACTGCCTGGACCGAACAGATCAGGGAAGGTGAGGTGCTCATCCACAATAATATCCATACATGGCAGCAGAGAGAACTCAAGGCGTGGGCATTTTATTGTCAACGTTTTGATGTTGATAAAATGCTGATGCTTTGATTCTGCTGCTGTACCTACATTGGATTTATTTATATAATAGTTTTACACTAAAATGTTTCTTTTTGTGACCCTGCCTTAGGTTTGCACCAAGGAAGAGCAAGATATTTTAATGAGAGACTCAAACAAGAGCCAGAAATTACGGAAGAAACTAATGGGAGGTAAGGCAGACTTTGCTTTGTATAATTTCTAAAGTTCATCATCATGTTAGAATTTGATCTTTACAATCTTCAATCAACTTTAGATTTACCAAAATGTAATATAAGGGACCTACATGAATAATGTATGTTTACTGTTTTGCCTAGCCATTCTTGTGACACGCTTATTTCTGATAGTCAGGATGATCACTTTGCTACTTCCTTAGTGGTGAAACATATTCAACTGAATAAGTCCAGTTAAATGTCTTTTTAACTATTGCTAGCAACAGTTTGTTAATTTAGTGTTAGCTAATGCAGTATACTACAGTCAAACAGAAAAATCCATCACTTTTGATGTGTTTTCACATGTAAGTCATTATACTTGTCTCAAGTTATATATGCATGGACCGACATCACCAACTCTCATTAGCATTGAGAGGCAGCTGTGCCTTCACTCTCAAACTACAGCTGTACAGCTATGAGGCTTTAGGCACCCTAACACACATACCAGGGAGTGTACTGCTATTTTTCAGGAGGATTCCAGGTAAAAGGTAAATTTTCAGGGCAATGCTCAGGCACAAATAAGATTTCTAAATATTCCTTTTAACAGAGCAAATTTTTACTTCCAGAGTTGAGTTCCCTTAATTATTTTTGTTCAATTCCAGTTCCTGATGTCTCAGGAAAGATGGATGTATCTTCAAATGATCTACTCCCTCATCAAGAAGTGCGGATGAAGGAGGGTTTGGACAGGGCTTTGCAGCATCGTGACAAACTTCTGGAGTATGACAAGACTAGGTATTTGTTGCTTTTACACAATTCCCTTTAACCAGTTGACATCCGCGGTGTTAAACCCCCTTCCCATCCAGGCTATTTTTCAGTATTCAGCGCTGCGGTACTTTAACTGACATTTATTCCGTCATGCAGCGCTGTACTGAAATGAATTTTATACCCTTTTTTGGGGACAGATAGAGCTTTCTTTTGGTGGTATTTATTCACCACTGGGGGTTTTATTTTTTTACTATATTAAGGAAAAATTACCGAAATTTAAAAAAAAAAACAGTTTCCCCTATATTAAATGATAAAACATTTATTATTACCCAATTTTTTGGTAAAATATAAAAGATGGGGTCACGTCGGGTAAAAAGACACTAAACATGTCAAGCCTTAAAATTGCGTGCGCGCGCGAAACCTCAAAAAACGATAATACCCAAAATTGGCCCTAGGCGACGCTTTAAAAGCTGTTACCGCTCATCAGTTTAGTGTTATCAGTGATTGATGGCCCTAAAATGATTGCTCTCACTGCGACGTTCGCGGCGATATGTAACATGTGTAGCGCAATTGTAATTTTTGCGCGCTGGGGCACCGGACGCGTATTTACGTTTATAGGCGCGTAAACGTGGGGGTGGGGGAGTTAAACATTTTGGGGGGGTTTTTTCCCCTTTTTTTATATGTGGCTTTTATTTTATTTTATTTTTTTATGTGTTACTTTTCTTTTTTTTTATTTATATTTTTTTTTTTGCACTTATTGTTATTGCTATTATATAGGGGGATAACAACCCCCTATATAATAGCAAAGGCACACTGACAGGTCCTCTTTATGGAGATATTAGGGGTCTCTAGGACCCCTAATATCACCTATGGACCCCAAAAGAAGCTGATGAAGCAGAGATCTAGTGTAATGTGCCGCGAACGAGCACATATAGGCGATCGCCGGGCTATGGACCCGCTGATCGCCTATATGTGAAACACCCAGTACCGGGTGTTCGCATTGGACGGGTCTTTCCTGCCCGTGCGTGCCCGCTAGGGGGCGCGCGCGAGCAGAAAAAAATTGCCGTCTGGAGACGGCAACCCGCAGATGCTGCAGTGCCGTCCGTCCGTTTTTTTACTACGGGCGGACGGCAAGAGGTTAAACACAGAAGGCTTTTGTGGTTATACTTTATGTATTCATTATTCTGTTTGACTACTAATGAAAACATTACAGTCGGCCTTATTTTTCCATTTTGCTTGTTTTGTAGTGTACGGCGCACACATGTGATTGATGATGAGTCCGATTACTTCTCCACTGATTCCAACCAATGGTTGTCCACGGCAGAAAGGGAGACCCTTCGTAAGAAAGAGCAAGAGCTCCAGGAACTGCGTCATGCTTCCCGACTCTCTCGTAAAATCACAATTGACTTTGCGGGCCGTCAGGTTTTTGAGGAAGGAGATGAACTCGCTGAATATCACAAGCGGTAAAGAAAAATAGAGCATGATACTAGGTTGTTAGGAAACGGTGGGAAGTGTGTAGTAAGTTTGAAGTGCTCTAGATCAACAAATAATAGGTTTTCAGCTTTTGCAATCAATAATGCAATTATCTTTTTATAGAATATATTTCTCTAGCTTACATACATTATTTATTTTCTGGACAGATTTGATGAGAATGTGCATGCTATTAACTCTGGGACAATAGTGAATCCAGTGAAAAAACCAGGAGAGAATCGGTGTGATTCCATTCTTGTGAATCCCAGCTTGATGCTGTCACCGCCTGTGGTAAGCCACTCTATGGAACATTTAAAAGTTATTTCACTTTCCTGTTGAATGACAAAGGTCTGAAAACTTTGAAAAAAATGGTGATACAGAAATATAGTCAAATTTAAAAGTTTTGAGTCCTAGTACAGAAGTAATCGATTACACAACGATGCAATAGATTTTAATTGTCCTTTCAAGGGTATCTAGGTCAAAAACTAAAAATAAATGTCTTTCTATATTAAATTTCCATACGTTTTATCCCACTCCTAATAACGATATTGATCTGCAAGTTTGTAAACTTACTTACTGAAGATGCCTTTAGGATGTAGTTCCTCAATGCACTCTTTTGTGTCACAACTCTTGTAGAGCCTGCTTTCTGCTCTACAACTCAACATCTAAACAATGTAACATTATCATTACATGCTGGAAGCAATGCATGATGGGCTATATAGTCTTCAGAAATCAAGACTGCATCACATCAAGTAGCAGGGAAAGAGACGCAAAGCACACTGGGAATCCAGGAAGTTGGTGAAAGAGATGGCCAGACAGAAGTCAGCACTCACTACATAAAAGGGATTTAAAAAAAAGTAAACTTTGCATTATCAAAAACAAGTATAATGTTTACTGACGTTGTAAACAGGATAGTACACGCTGTGACTTTATAATTCCTTTAAAGCGACATAGGTCCTATCCTACATGAGCCTTATTGCCTGAAAAACATGAGCTTGTGTATCATTATTTTCAAAGGTGATTTACACCTTGACCTGACATTTCTCTTTTGTGTGGTTGTGGGCAAGGTAAATCACAAACTGTCTTATCTCTTGGGGAAACTATAAAATCCCACCAGCATTCCATGTCCCTCTCCACGGCAGCAGCTATTACAGAACAAAGCAATGGTATCATACTTTTCCTGTAGATTCTTTATAATACAGGGTAAACTAATATAATCCAGATGTGAAATCCCATTTCAAAACAATCAGATTCAGAAATGTAGGCCACTGAAATTTTACAGGGCTTTCCAGTTCAGTTATGTTGTCCTTGTCCCTTCTGCCTTCTCCAAACTCTTCACCTTTTATAAATAACCCTGTTAGATGCAAATCTTTGACTCGGCCCCTTTCTATCTTGAGAGACTGTTTGTTGGTCAGTGAGCCTTCCTGTCAAAGTGATAGACCAATTGGAAGGCTTGGATGGGTAAGAGGCTGAAGCCACATTCACCTGCCTATATATCTGGAACTACTGATTTGTTTGGCGCTTATTTTTTCACTGCGGCTAAGCTGTAATTTGTTGGTCATCATACGCTCACTTTGATTTGCAACAGATTTGCTTTAATATTTTTTCATCACTTGCTTCAGGTCCAGGAATTGTCCAGGTTTGAAACATGGTAACCATTTAAAGTAGGAACTGTTCTATGCTGCCTCACAGCCGCCAGATTCAAACTTGCACCGATAGACAGAGAATGACATTATTTAATTAGTGGCTGTGAAGCAACATTAAACGCTTCCTGTAAGATGGTGTTTGGAGATTAGGCCTACATTTTGGCCTGTATATGTGCAGGTTTAAAGGGGAATGCAAGGCACAAGGATAAAGAGCGGGAGAAGATAAGTAAATGATCCCCAATACACGCATTAATAAAAACCTTCCTTCTCAAAATGTTTTTTCTAAAATCGGGCCATATGATCCTGCTGTTCTACTTCCTAATTCAAAAGTTGTAGCCTAGGAGGAGGGATCACTGAGTCGCTAAAATGATTCACAGCCAAATGACCATGGAAGTGGATTTGTCTGACAAAATACTCACTAGGTAAGACGCAGGGAAGTACTATACTGTCATTTTATACTCTGTGTATAGAGGAAGTAGTAAAGAAGGGTTGACGGGAGTGGTGAAGACATGATGATGATGATGCTGATGATGATAGTGGCAGCAGAAGTGTCAATCACTGCCATTTTAGCCTGTAGGAACCATTGCACCAGATTTAGCTTCTGATATATCAAGACTGCTACCTGTAGAGCAGTATTATAAAATATAAGGATTGTTACGGATGAAAAAGAAGTAGCTGGTCTTTTAGAAATATGGCAGCTACTGCTGTTGACATTCTGTTAAATATTTATGCCTCAGAGTTCTCATTCTTTTACTTCCTTCTCTATAGTCTGAATCACTCTCAGATGAAGTTGATTCCATATATGAAACTGCACTCCTGCCTAGTACTAGATTATCAAATAGGTGGAAGCTTGAAGTGATGGCTTCCAACCGTGCCACACTAAAATCAGATCAAGGGATACAAAATACCAGCACTTCAGACGTGTAATTGCGTCCTACAAATTTATTGTGAAAAGCAAGCATCGCAGACAAATATAATGACGTCACTGGGAGGGTCCATTTCTCAAGGCAACATATAGTGACCGTACTTTGTTAGGGACCCTGAAAGAAGCTATAAATATATATATATATATTAGGGCTGTTAATTATTAAAATTTTCGTGTTCGATTCATTTCAATTAATTATAACGCACATACAGATCCAACTACATTGGCCTATACACATACAGCACAGCAATGAAGTAATAAAATGAACTAGGATCACACTTATCCAGCACGTTATTAATCTCACGTGCCCCACTCAATATGGCCGCCGCTTGAGTGGGGCAACTCAGAATAATAACGTGCTGGATTAGTGTGATCCTAGTTAATTTTATTACTTCATTGCTGTGCTGTATGTGTATAGGCCAATGCCTTGGCTGGCGCTCGTGCAGAAAGTTTCTTGGGCAAACTCACTGGCCCTAGTGGCTCCGTCGGCTAACGAAGGGGGGAGGAGTCCGGTGACGCCACGGACATCGACGTCACCGGACTCCTCCCCCTTCCCTTCGTTAGCCGTCACAGACATCGACGTCACCGGACTCCTCCCCCCTTTTTTCCAAATAAACATGTCTGGAGTGGGGACTTTGTATATCATAAACCAAAGCAAGCACGTGAATATACACAGGGTTATTCACAAAAGGGTGAAGAGTTTGGAGAAGGCAGGAGAAGTGAACAATCTAGGCCAAAATGGCTGATTTGGAAAATTCTCCAATTCAGTTCACTTTCCAGTTCAGCTATGTTGTCCTAGATTGTTCACGTCTCCTGCCTTCTCCAAACTCTTCACCTTTTTGTGAATAACCCTGACAGTGTTCGAACACCCATTATGCACATACAGTAAATATTCCAGTCCAATGACTTGCCAAATAGTGAAGCAAGGATGAGGTAGCAACTACCTTCAAAGACAAGTTAGCAGTGACAGCCTCCATATTTTCATGCATTGCTGACCTTAATCTATGTGGGGCACAGACTCTGTATATACAATTTTTGTAAGTAATTAAGTATATCTAGAGTGTGCAAGAAAGCAGGGATCTCCTTATACATTCTGAATCTTGCACTCGGAAGGAGAGGACATCTGTTCTGAGCAGATGGTGTAGTCTGGGCACAGTGACATACTTAAATGTAGACAACAACATTCCATAGCATGTTTCTGTAATATTCTGCAAGTAAAGTTTACACAGAAAATATATCCCAGTGATAATGAACACATTCCTAAAGTGTGACAGTGCTGTTTACTATGTGTTCTACTTACCAACATATGGAATATCCTTAGAACCTGAAGGCTTCTGGTTGCTCATATTTGGTAATTTTAAAACACATTGTTAACCATTTAGTGGCTATTTATCTAGGGCTACTTCTAAGAGGTACAGGCGGTACTTGTGCCATTAAACCCTTTCCCTGCCACCGACTTAAGGCATACGCCGGAACAAAACTGTCCCCAAAACACCAGGTCAGTACGCCTTACGTCGGTAGCGTTTACCGTTCTGCTATAAGCTCATGCCCCCCGGCCACCGGCATCTCCAGCCTCTTCTCCCTGCCTGGAGCCACAGGCAGGGATCTGTGTCTCCATGGATCCCCCACTTGTATGGCAGCGGGGATCCGAATAGAAATGGCTGGCGGAGGAGTGAGCCGCACAATGATCGAGCGGCATGAGAGAGCGGCAGTCGGGAGCAGAGTGGAGCAGCTGTCATCCTGTCAGTTTCAGGATGACAGCAGCTGTGTGCATGGCAGAGCGGAGGATCGGTACATATCAGTGATATGTACCGATCCTCCGTGCAGCACAAACACTGTAGTGATAGTCTGATCACTCCAATGTTTGTAAATAACTGGGGACACATAGTACATGTTGTGGTGTACACCATGCGGGGCAGTGCATTGTTAGAACGCATCACAGTGCATGATGGTTTTTATAATGTTTTGGGTTTTTTGTAACTGTGGCAGCGCATGGCAAAGCTTTGTGGCGCATTGCCGTGCATTGTGATACCTTGTGTTGCAATTAAATATACGCCTGTATCATTTTATCACAACACCAACACATCGCAAAATCGATTTTTAACAGAAGTCGCTTATATACAGTTGTGCCTACCTTCACTTTTTTTTTTTTACCTTTTCACAAAAAGGCGCAATTTTAAAATTTTCAAATATTTTGTTATTTATTAACTCTGTACAGTTTTTTATCTTTTAGATTGTCAGAAAATATTTAAGTTTTAACACAGTACCATACTTGCATGTGTTCGTATGCATAATGCTTTAGGGGCTATGTTTGACCTGCTTTGCCTGTGGTGCCAGTGGATTTCATCTACACCACACAAAGCAAATGCTAAACTGCACACTTGAAATTACACTTCTCTTCAAATGTATGCCAGATGCAGAAAAATAAAGCCTATCTACATGAGCCTGAGAAAGGAAGATGCAAAACATAGACGCACAAGCTGAATAACTCTAGAGGTTGCTTTCTAAAATCTACTTGCCCTGCATTTTATAAGAGACTGTGGACTTTTGACATCAGTGTCATTGCATTGTTTTCTGGGCAATCAGGAAGGCAACTCTATGCTTCTGGAAGTACCGGTATCGTGGATACCGAGTACCGAAATATAAGTATCGGTACTCGCACTGGATACCGAAAAAACGGTATCGGTGCATCCCTACCTGATATACCCACAAGTCTCTCCTGCTTCTGAAGCCGTAATGCCCAGGGCACACTCCTCCATATTTCTGTGGTTTCCCTAGACTGCAGGACCTTTGGAATACTACTAGGGTTTTTCTAATATCTGATATTATAAAGAGGGACATAATATAAATAAGAAACACCAGTCTATAAAAATAAGGTATATGTTTTGGGGACCACCAGCCAACAGATGTCTCTTGGCTGGATCATGTCATGCATGAATGACCCACCTCACATGTCTATGGTCACATTTTGGATTAAGCTACAACAGTGATTATTTTGAGTGAAGTCTCTTGAAAATGATCACTATCTTTTGGATTGTTTCCTGCACTTGAACATGCAAAGTTGTAATAGTCTTCTTCCCTAACTGATCCCATTTTGCTATAAATAACAGTGGGTTTTATGTATATACAGTATTTTCCTATATTTTTCCACATAATTAAAAAGATTTTCCAAGTCTGCTGTTTACTTGACATTTCACCAGCTTCGTGGTTCATATCACCAAACTTCATAAAGGCAAACGCAGGCCAGTAGGTATATACAGAGGAAATTATATGAACAGGGACCTAGCAGCCAGTGATCTCCTGGCTTCCTTTTGAAAAGTAGGGACCAACATATTGGTATTTGAACTGGAACCTGGAGTTCCTTTTGGCAGTTCGAGATATAGAATTAGTAACTGGAGGCTTATGTCTATATACTGTGCATAGACTGTGCATAGACTGTGTATAGAGTATGTCGACACCAGGATCCTTAGACCGCTGCAGAGGAGGAGGGGAGATATGTACCAGACACCGGTCTAAGAACAAGCTGGCTCAGATGGTCTGGTGAGTATGACTTCTCATTATTCTGACTTCACTTAAGCTGATGACAGCTGAAATCTGGTTGTTCTGGGTTATTATTATATACCATTTTTCTTCATTCTCACATCGTCTTGAACTTCTGTTACTTCAAGTTAATACACAGAGTAATAGCAATGTACCTGTTTAATAAACAGTGAAAAGTAGGAAAGAGCTTTATCACTGTGCTAAGTGTTTGTTTTGAAAAGTCCCTTTAGATTTTTCACTACCTCAGACATGGTGATAAAGGCCTTTTTCTCATGAAACACTGAGGAAAAAGCCAGCAAAGTGACAATTTTACACATTTTCAGGCATAATTGCAGGATTGCTCATGCTGTAATGCATCCAATAAGGCATATTGCAACCCATTACTCCTCACCTTCTCCACTCATTATCACCTAATAAGACTTTTTTTTGGCGCACAGGTGCATCAGGGAAGACGTGTTATACATTAGTTTCACAAGCAAGAACTTTTTTTGCCACATCAAATTCACTTGCTGCCCATTCAATGTTGCATAAAAATGCAGACATGCAAACATGCTGCATTTTTATGCACAATATATACACACACATTGAGCCTGTGTTGATATAGCTGATCAATGCACCTAGTGTCAGCGAGCCCTTAGTTTTATGGCCGCAGGGTCTCAGCAAGCCCTTAGTTTTATGGCCGCAGAGGTTATTACAAAATTGTTTGCAATGCAAAATAAAAAAGAGATCCTATATTGTTACTGTGCAAAAAAAGCCTCTCATAAGCTTTATCACAATAATGGCCATTTTTAGGAGGCTTTCTATAATAAACAACAAAATAATATATGGTGTTTTTTCCACATATGTGGGAGGTATAACGTATTCTATCAGGATCGTAGGTTTCCTCCCAGGAATTCATGTGTGCATCCCTGAAAAGCCTTCCCTTCAGTCTTTTCTCTTGATATCACAGTGAGAGTTCACTGCTGCTATCACCGTGATCAATTGGCCACTTAAACAGGCTGAAACTTTTCTAGAGAAGTGAGAAAATAACACTGTGATATGTGGAGAAAAGATATCCCGTGATAAAGCAGACTTTATCACGGTTTATTAAACGTACACCTTAATGTGAACTCCAGGCAGAGGTATAATACACCAATTCATCCATCTAGGTATTCAATAATAAATCCTTAAACACCTTTTCCTTCTATAGTCTATAAGAGTGCATTGAGCATTTAGCCTGTGTTTAATGCTGATCAAGGCAGGCTAAATCAGATAAAACAATGGTTTTTCTATGTGCCCTATTTACACCACACAGGTGCATTGGTGTGTGTGTTGTGTAAAAATGCAGCATGTCTGCAGTTTTATACAATACACAACAGTGTGTTAAAACACACCACAACACTTTGCAATGCACTGTTGTACATGGAGGTAAATGAAGTGTAATTTTGTGACACTTCATTAAAAAAGAAAATTAAGAGTAAACGGTGCGAAGAGTTTTAACACAGAAAGTGGTGCCACATGCTGGTTGTGTTTTGTGGCAGGTCTACGTAAATCTCAGGAATGGATGGGCACAAATATGAATCCTTTGGCAGACTACTACCATATATATTTCTCATCTGTACATTTAGCCATTTAAGGCAATTAACTGCTTTCTTTACTGTTTTGACCTAGTGGATGGATCAGCTGAGTGCAGGCTCTAGCAGAAGACAGACATTTGTAGAAGCTACAGCAGAGAACACGGAACGGAACAGGCTTCGAATACAGGACCGAGAATTGCAGGAGATCGGTGACCAGGGCATGTGTCTAAGCATGCATCAGCCCTGGGCATCTCTTCTAGTCGCAGGCATTAAAAGGCAAGTTGGGCTTCATATTTTGTGAATAAATCGCACCACTGCCTTTTGTTTGAGTTCCAGCTATGCTATTTTTATACATGTTTGTCAAATGTTAACATAGCCAAGCTGTTTCAGCATAGGTGTTTTATCCTGTGTAGGAAAGTGTGTGTCGCATGGCAACCATTCAATACCTATATAGCATCTAACTGATATGGCTTATCTAAACAAAACATCCATCTATGCACTTTGCACTGTTTTACTTGAATTAGCCTATTTTATATTCTATTTAAACATTTCTCTATAAAAAAAAACTATGTATTCAGTTTTTTATGTAATGGAATAGGATCTGGGGCCCTAAGTTGTCTTTAAAGCTTAACTGAACTTTCGGTTTTAATTCAGCTAAATGTATTCCAGGTGCTTCAAAACAAAGGGTGTGCAAAGTCTTACGGTTCATTTTCTTTGCAATTCAGCCACAGCTGATTAGTAGAAAAGACTTGTCCTGTCCCCTGCCAGCATATTGTAGAGAAAGAGAAGGATAATTGTTTTCTGTGTGGAAGCAGTAGACTCTCTGCAGAAGTCCAATCTGCAATCAACAAAGCTCCTGGCTTCCTGCTGATTGGAGAGTTCTAGCTCTGACTTAGCAGGGGGCAAAACATGTTTTAGGTGGACCTCTGCTTTAATGTGAACCTGTAAGCCATTTTAAATATCTTAAATGAATAGTGTAATCCAAACCCATCAGCCTTCACTCTGTCCAGTAAGACAGCTTTTAATGGGTACTGAGGTGCTCCCACTGGACATTGCAGTAGAAGCAAAGTATGGCTTAGCTCTAAAGAAAGTAAGGCATGCCTTGATAACACAGTGAACTAAATCTAAGCAGGGTTCTGTGGCCGGTAAAGGTAATAATAGTAGACGTCTTGTGGAACCTGCTTCACCACTTCTGATAGGGCTTAAGCCCTTTCTACCTGCTGCATATTCCTGTTGCCCAGCAAGGCTGCCCATCACAGTGATGGGCCAATAGGTGTGTGTGTGTGTGTCAGCCAGGGCTTGGCTGCAAGCTCCAACACTACCCACAACTGTTGCATCCTCCCTTGTCAGAATTGCGGATGCTGTAGCTCGCGGTATACTGAGACGCCGCAGCTGTAGCGGATCCCGACAATTGTGCGGCTAGAACTATGAGGTGAGTGAAAAGCACTCACCTCATAGTTCTCCTTTTTAATAGAGCAAGACCACACTTTGAGAATAACTTAATTGTAATATAAAAAAAAACAGTATACTTTCATCGTTGAAAATATGACACCAAGTATCTAAGCATCTGCTGTTTTTGGCTGCATTATGCTGACACAAGGGAATAGATTTGTCTCTCCTCTCTTTCTAGTACTTTTTGCTTGAGCTTTGGGTGTGACCTTGGATTAACGGCAGACTTTCCATTTCCTTTGCTTTCATCTTTCTTTTGCTCCATACAAAATAGTTTTTCCTGCCACAAAATCCTGCTATGTTTTACACTTACTAGCCCTATCAATTGATATTGATATTTTGCATATTAATAATTCAGCTTCTATTATTGCAGTTTTATTAACTCTATAAACTGACTACCCAAACCAACATTTTTTTTAATGCTTATGTAGAAACGCTCCGCAGCTACGTTGAAAGCATTTTTAGTGTTTCGTCCTCAAAACTGAAAATGGAAAAATGTATTCATGTCCTTTTAATGTACATTCATTGTTTGAAGCCCTTTGACAATATCCATAACATAGTTTGCTTAGTTGGCAGAAAGAAATAATCATGCAGAAACTTCTGCATGCAGTCATTGTGTATACAAGCAATTTGCCAGCAGGATTGAGAATGATCTCTGGCTAAGCTGCACTGTCTCTACATCCTTCCCTGCTGACAAACAATGTGATTCCAGTTACTTCATGTTGATTTGTGACTGTGCAGTTCAGTACTTGTCTGATCAGATTGCTTATTGTGGCTCTCATTTCTGTCTCCTGCAGGGTGGAGGGTAGAACGTGGTACAGTGCTCATAGAGGCCGTCTGTGGATAGCAGCAGCTGCCAAAAGACCTTCTCCGCAGGAGATCTCAGAGCTTGAGGCTTCATACCGAGTGCTACTTAACAAAGGTTGAGCTGTCAGACCTTCTTATAGACTCTGAAAACAAAGGCATTAACATTGCAACATAAGGAACTATTATTCAGAATAGCGACAGTGTATCGGTAAAAGTTATGTTACTAAATGTTTTTGAAAACATGTTTCTTTAAGCATGATCTTTAGGTTGTTAGGAGATTATTCAATGGAACTCCAAAATCTAATACCGTGAGCATATGGAAGAATATTGTTTCATACAACCAACAGTCTAAGGAATGTTGTACCGTGCATATTTTGAAAAAATGTTCATTTTATGAGATTGTCAAAGATGTTCCTTTCAGGAGACTGGTTTCCACATTTGACGTTCTTAGATAGTCTCGGATGCGGTATCGGATTTTTCTGTTTATGACTGTTAAATTATGTTGGGTAGCCCAGTTATGCATCACCCTTATGGTGACTTGATGGCTGAAATTTTAAACCCAGGCTAATCCAGTTGGACAGAACTGCACAGAACCAGTAGTTTTCTTCTAACAATATTGAGCTCAGCTTAATGTGCAGTGCAAATTGGAATTTTTCATTTAGTATTCCAGAATGCTGGGTTATAAGGGTGAAAAAATACCTAACTAAAATGATTATTAGTAATCACGGGTTCTAGTACAATTATTACTTTTTAAAATTCTATCTTTGTGTTTCACTAAACCTGAATAAACCCTTGTACATTTGTAGATATTCATTTTCCCAAGGACTATCCGACTGGCTGTCTGCTGGGCTGTGTAGAAGTGGTTGACTGCTTGTCACGAGAACAGTTTCAAGAACAGGTATGCTAGCCCCATCTTCCTGTATGTATGCAATCGCAAATATGGAAGGCTAGACGCAAAACATGTTTCAAGCATTTTATTTTATTCTGTTAGACCAACTCTGTCTTATATAAGATATACCAAACATACCCTGTTGCTGGAAACCTTTACCAGTTGTTGTTCTTCTATATGTTGTCCCTTCTGAATGAACGGTTTTCAGCTTGGCTTTAGCTCACAGCTGGTGGTAAGTTTAGTCCAACCAACCAAATCTTTTAATTTTTAAATTTAATGACTGGGTAGAACATTTTTAGATCAGCAAGGGACAACACATTGGAATCCACATATGGCCATATTGGAATGTTGGCTACTCCTAATGGAAGCTTGCCATACACTGTTTGTTTTCTAAATCCCTGCAGGCTGAATGAGAAATAAATAATCTTCCCTACCAGTCATTTTGTATTTTGGAAGCTGGCACCTGCAATAACAGTGGTTAGCTGGCATGCCTGAAAGTGAGAGAAATACCAGCATATCGGCTGTTGCTCTAACAGCAATAAATCGAATATCTTCCATTTGGGCTATTTGTAGCACAGCTGTATGAGAAGTTCCCTTACTTTGGAAGGATCGACTCTCACTTTTAGTTACCTCCTGAGACAGGAAGTGAAGAACAATCTCCCCAAAGAGACAGATAAAAACTGACAAAAAACCCCAAAACATTCTCCACTTCATCCAAAACTAAAACATTTTTGAGCCTTAGAAATCAATGCATCATAATAAACTTCAGTACAGCATGTGTATGGTAATTACATTTCAGTAAACATTCTGAGCGGCTGAGTAACTTGAAGTGACATTCTTGTCCATTTTATTAAGGTGTCACCACTGCAGCCCATAGGAACTGTTTTCACTGTTTTTTCTGGAGTGGTACTGAGGTTTAGTGCTTGATATATAAAAATGCTGGCTGCACAGCAGTAATCTAAATGGCAAGGCACGTGGACTGGGTTAAGGATTGCTGGAGCTAAAACATAAAACAGTATTGATCAATTTTATTTTTAAGCATTAGTATTCAAATGATAGAATTCTCTACTTCAGCATTGTAAAGTAAAAACTTTATTTAACAAACAAATTGCAAGCAGGCAGGGCTTTTTTATAGCAGAAGATACATGGTATGATTTTTCTTCAATAAATCCTTAACTGTCTGCCTGCAATATTCTATAAGCACAGCTCAGTCTACATTCTTGGCATGCATTGGATAAATTAACTCCAGTGTGAAAGCATCCTAGACCAGCCAATCGAGATGGCCAAAGATGCCGAATCTGAAAGACTATTGGGTAAAGATTAGGGCTGCAGCTAACGATTATTTTCATAATCGATTAGTTAGCCGATTATTAAGTTCGATTAATCGCAAAGATGTCGGCACCGGCAAGGTAGCTTGAGGATGGCTAATCACTAGAGGAGAGGCGAGTAAAGGATGGATTTAACTTCTATTTTATCTACATGGTGAGTGCAGCACATATACCTTTTACTGTTGACATTCTCCCTCATTGCTACTTCTGGGAGTAGGGTTGCGCCAATTCATAGCGTCTGCTTCAGACTGGTCACCATTCTCAGAGCCAGACAGACCCTACCCACTTTTTTTTACAGCTTGCATATACCAGGGCACTACCTATGGAAGCAATTGTGGGAAACCCTGTCAACACTGTTTCCAGGCTGAGCAGTAGGAAGATGCACTTGCTACACTGAGCATGTAGTTTTTAGTGTTTTACAGAGCACCCCCGAGCTGCCTGATTTAAAAAATGTATTTTATTTATCAGATGTATAGTTTATTTTATTTTTGTAATTTATCATTTTAACTATTTTTTCAGTCTTATTAATAAGTTTGAATATTATTTGTATCATTTTTTATCTTACAGCTAAACATTTATTACAGTTGCATCCATGAAGCATGCTGGGTGTATCATGAGAAAGCCTAGTTTTTAGGAAGATTAGATTCATTTACTGCTTAAGACCTTGCTGTTTTTGCATATAGAGGAGGAGGCGGCAGTCTGTCTCCCACATTTTGCATACAGTATATGTTACCAAGAAGCTTTACACAGCATAGAACTAGCATAAGGCTCCAACTACTGGCTGCAAGTGCTAAATATTAAACCTTCTTATACAATATTTCCTGTTAACCTGATTTAAAACGTAACAAAAAAAAACATTTAAGTGTTTTATATTTCTGTAATGAACATAATAAGGAAAATTTATTGAAAAGAAAATCATAGTTTCCTTTTAATAAACTTAGTAGAGGGTAAATCATTTTAGGTATATTTCTACACTGACCCTATATTTAGTATAGGTTGGTAACCCATAAGCTTTTAAAATGACTGGATTGTAAGAGGCTGTGCTGTGCTTTTATATGTGCACTTTCTCATTTTAAATGTTTATTTTTTTCTTACTCTTAGTATCGATCTCTTAACCAAGAATCAGCATCACCCTTTGTCTTCATTTGTACCAACCCTCAAGAACTGCCAATAAAATTTCCAATGAAGGGACAACACAAGATTTGTGAGTAATCGGATTCACTCACGTCATATATGCTATGCCAGGTTATTTATACTGTTCGGTATTACACTTTAGTCTGATCATAGTAATATTAAAATCAGAATAATTTATATTCACAAAAGAATGAATATGGTCATATTTAAAAAGTAATGATACTTAAAGAGACTTTATCACTTTAAGAATGCTATTGACAGGTATGAAGTACAGTTACCTAGAGGTGCCTGTACATGTCTGCAGCAGCTTTCAATATACTTTGCATTGCCCAATGGCAGGTCATACTAATGGGGCACAACTCTGAAACTTGTGGATAGTGTCGGAGCTTGTCACTAAGCCCTGGCCTTACCCATCAGTAGGAGCTGTTGAGCCAGTAAAAATGTAAGGAAGTAGAGATGCAGCATAAGAAAGTGAAGCAGAGGATCCTAAAATCGATTGCTGGTTTCTGCAGGCCCCTCTGGGTGCCTGCCCTTCATACCTGTTAGCAGCTTTCAGTAGTCTTTAAAGTGGCAAAAGCTCTTTTAAGCCACTGCTTTATTAGTTTTAACCATCTAAGTATTGCTTTCATATTAAAAAAATATATTTAATTCATTCTTTAAATTGTAGCTGTCCCCTCTTAGATGCTGGTGGCCTAAATCACACACTCTTATCTCCTGATGACCCAGAGGGCTAGGTTGTTCTGCTGGAGTTCCCACTTCTGCCCACCCTTACTTACACTTCTTTTATAGAGTCTCATTCTTCTTCAAAAGGTGATCTAAATACATAATCCAACATCCTTGTGATGGATATGGCAGATGGATTGACCTGGAAACTTGGTTGCAGAGCTCTTGCTTGCAAAGTTTCCAAGAGATTTAGTATGCCAGTATAGAATTGGGTACACCAGCATCTCAAAAAAGATCATTTGTGAGTGTACTGACCCTTTACATAGTTAGTCAGATTGAAAAAAGACACAAGTCCATCGAGTCCAATCGAGTCTTTAAAAAGCAATCTTTAGGAAATGCATGGTCAGGTCAATGGAGGCTATCTTGGGTAATAACTAAACAAAAAAACAAACCCTCATAGTATATTTAGCTGTCTGAAAATAATTGAGTTCATTTCTTGCAGTGTCTTATTGTAGATCTCCTTTTATTAAAGGGTAAAGGGTTGAAAAAAACGTATTTAACATATAATTGCATCACAAGCTAATTTTGTAGGTCACAAAGCGCTATGTCAAGTCTGCTGTAGTGAAGAGGGTGGAGGTACATTAACAGAAGCAGTCTGCAAGCCCCAGCTCTGTGCATGCTTCTCCTTGTCTTAGCAGGGCAAATTAAATATACACAAAGTGACATACTGTAGGGGGGCAGGGAGTTTAAATTGCCCTAGCTATGGGTCTGCTGTTTACCACCATTCTGAGATAAGGTGAATGGCAGTTTCAAGGTACAAATTATAATATGCACTTTTCATGCCAAACATGACATTCCCATCACAAAAATATCACAAATGCCTTTTGTATCATTTAATATAATTTAAAAAACTTTTGTTATCAGTTTGCAGGTAGCTATGATTCTATGAAACTGACGAATGCAAAGGCCACTTCTTTGTAACCAAGACAGCTAGGGGTGTTTTGTCCTCTGGATGTATACAGAATGCCCCTAGAAATTACTATTATACAGCAGCTGTTCACTATTTATGTCACTGTAGCAGGCAAACCATTCCACTGAGCATACAGCAAGCAGGAATTGAGTGGGATGTAGGAACCAGGAGACCTTTGCAGGTGTCTATCAAACAGCAACAGGTAGATGTCTGCAAAGGAGTTTTCTAAAGTAATTGCACTGTATGTAACTGACAGAGGACTTTTTTTTTTTCTTAAAGTGGCATTTCACTTTAAAATGACACTAAACGTCAGATTCACCAGTGGTAACTGATTTATTTGCAGGGATTAGTTTTTGACTATAGTTTGGAAATCTAGATTGCATTTGTTTTGGCTCTTGTGATTTAATTACTATACAGTTGGATATCTGTACCTAGGAAAGACAATGGGATTTATTAACAAAAAAATTAAACAAAGGTATATATGAAAAAAAAAATGCTAGTGTTTACTGGATAACCTTCCTTGTTGTTTTTTGTTCTCCTTTCATGATATATTCGTTTATGCTGATACATGTCCTTTTATTCTAGGGAAACTGGATTCTAAAATTCACCAAGGGGCCAAAAAAGGGATACTGTTCAGAAAAGAGAAGATGGCACAACCATGAAGCCAGCATGTAGAAGCATTCAAACATCTGCAAATAAAGCAACAAGATGTTGGTTAATAAATATAGCACTCAATGCTGTATTTACACCTTGCTGGACCAAGTGCAAATAAACCAACAGAAAAAAAATTGATGAAATTAGGGATGCACCGATACCAGTTTTTCGGTATAGAGTACGAGTTCCGATATTTATATTTCTGTACTGACCGATACAGAGTATCGGTACTTCCAGTAGCATAGAGCTGGCTTCCTGGGCAATCAGGGAGCCCTGGCGTGTCATTAACCACCGCCCGGCTTCTTGATTGCCCAGGAAGCCGACTCCATTCTGTTTGGGCAGGCTTGATGCTGATTGGCTGGCCTCGATGCTGGCTTCCCAGCCAAACAGATCTGACAATATGGTGGCAGACACCTCATTTCCCTCAAATTGATCCTCAGCAGCAGTCCTTACCCTACCACAGATGTCCCTCGGCCAGCTGGGCAGACACCATTCTCCAAGTTCTCCTGGATCTGCCCACTTCTCCTGTGTGTACAGCGCCTCCGTGATCGGCCCTCAGCCTGCTACTGCGCATGCAAAGACGACCCAGCACTCTGATTCAGAAATCCTCTAACAGCATCAATCAGGCGGTACTGCTGCGGTGCACACAGGAGAGGTGGGCAGGTCTTGGAGAGCGGTGTCTTCCCAGCTGGCCGAGGGACTGGTGCAGTAGTGACTGCTGCTGAGGATCGATGTGAGGGGTCTGCAGGATGGAGGTTGTGTCACCATATTGTCAGATCTGTTTGGCTGGCTCGATGCTGATTGGCTGGGAAGTCTGCTTCCCGGCCAATCAGCATCGAGGCGGCCAAACAGCATGGAGACAGCTTCCCTACTCCATGTTCCCTCGTGGCAATGCCGGTCAGAGGGAGATTTCCAGTATGGGAGCATTTGGGCGAGTACCACTATATACTAATATATACTCGCCCAAATACTCGGTATCGGTGCATTCCTCTATTACATTTTTTTTTTTATATATATATA